CGGATCGACCAATATCCCTGCCTGATTAACAACATGTCCAAGAAATTGGACCTCCCGCAACCAGAAGTCACATTTGGAGAATTTTGCATATAGCTTCTCCGACCTCAGTACCCCAAGGACCTCCCTCAAATGTCCCTCATGCTGCTCTCTAGATCGCGAATACACCAGGATGTCGTCGATAAATACAATCACAGACCGATCCAGCATCGGCCTGCATACCCTGTTCATGAGGTCCATGAACACTGCCGGGGCATTGGTGAGCCCGAAAGGCATCACCACGAACTCATAATGCCCATATCGCGTCCTAAATGCTGTCTTCTGGACGTCCTCATCCCGCACTCTTACCTGATGGTACCCTGATCTCAGATCGATCTTGGAAAACCAAGATGCCCCTTGCAACTGATCGAATAAATCATCGATCCTCGGTAACGGATAGCGGTTCTTGACCGTCACTTTGTTCAACTCCCGGTAATCAATGCACATCCGGTGTGAACCATCCTTCTTCTTGACGAACAGGATCGGTGCTCCCCACGGCGAGCTGCTCGGCCGAATAAATCCCTTCCCCAGCAACTCCTGGAGTTGCGAGGACAACTCTTGCATCTCTGGAGGTGCGAGACGATAAGGCACCTTCGCAATAGGCGCAGCCCCCGGAATCAGATCGATACCAAACTCTACTTGCCTCGCAGGAGGTACTCCCGGCAGTTCCTCGGGAAAAACATCTGGAAACTCACGCACCACTGGGACCTCCTCCACTGACCTTGGTCTCTCGGAAGCCTCCCGCGTATCCATCACATACGCCACAAAACCCTTACATCCCTGCTGTAGACATTGCCTCGCCCTAGCGGCCGAACAAAAAGCTGATCCCGAACGGGTACCCTCGCCGTACACCGTAAGAACTCCTCCACTAGGGTCTCGTATAGTCACCAGCTGGCGCTCGCAGTCGATGACAGCGCTGAATCGGCTCAGCCAGTCCATGCCCACGATGACACAGACATCACCCATCGCAATAGGAATTAGGTCAATCGGAAACTCAACCCCGAAAATCTCTAGTACGCATCCCCGAAGAACCTCCGTGGCACAAACCACCCTCTCGGCCGCTATAGAAACGCTCAGGGCCGACTTAACGGCTCACGACTAATGCTGATATGCTGACTAAAAGCTACAGATACAAAGGACCTACTCGCACCCGAATCAAATAACACTAGAGCAGGCATAGAGTTCACAAGAAAAGTACCTACACATATATTAACATAAGCATAACATCTCGACTTTAAATAAATACGTGAATTACAGCATACCTGCCACAACATCGGGCGCAGCGCGGACCTCCTCCGCAGTCAGCTGAAAGGCTCTCCCGCGAGCCCTCGGGGCCTCGACCTTCACCGGTCGAGTCTCAGTAGTCCTGGTAGTAGGTGTAGATCCCTGACGAAGCTGCGGGCACTCGGCCTTCCGATGGCCTGTCTGGTTGCAATGAAAACAAACCATAAACCCCTTAGGACAATCCCTGGCAATGTGTCCTTCCTTGCCACACTTGTAGCAACCACCAGCTCGGCACGCCCCCTCATGACCCTTGCCGCACTTCCGCAAGTGCGGCCCTTCTGACCTCCCGTCCTCAAATCAGCGGACTTGATCCGCTTGGCTGCCGGCTGAGACTGAGCCGGCCGCCGGTCCACCTGCCGAGACTCGGCCTCCTCCCTGGCCTGGGTCTCCAACTCGATCTCGCGCTTCCTGGCATTCGCCTGAAGCTCAGTAAAAGTACGATAGGTGAGTTTGACACAAACTCCCGGATATCCCTCCTCAAAACGCCTAAGTACCGGCTCATCCGCGACTGCTCTGTAGACACCAGCTCAGGGCAGAACATCGCCCTCTCATGAAACTTCCGTGTGACCACCGCAACCGAATCAGTACCCTGCTTAAGGGTCAAGAACTCCTGAATCAATCGTTCCCTCTCCACTGGGGAACGTACTCGTCCCTGAACATGTCAGTAAACCTCTCCCATGTCACTGCTGTAATCTCCGCCAAGAGTGAAGTTCGCCGTCACGAACTTCCACCAATCCTTCGCTCCCAGACGGAGCTGGTTCAAAGCGAACCGTACCCTCAGGTGCTCCGGGCATGAGCAAGTGTAGAAGCACCCTTCAATGTCGGCGATCCACCTCATCGCAGCAATCGGATCCTGCGTCCCATCGAACTCAGGGGGTTTCGTGTTGCTGAATTCCCGGAATAGCAACGAATCGCCCCCTTGTGGCCTGGCAGCGGCCACGGCTGCGGTAGCGGCAGCGGCTGCAGTCTCAGTCAGTGCGGCGTACCGCTCTTCGAACGTCTCCATCAGAGTGGTCTTAATAGACCCAAACATCTCCGGGATCTCAGCCCGGATCGCTGCAGCTACCTCCTCCTGAATCATCTGACGAATATCCTCGTCGCTCACACCGCTCGAACTCGCCCCGTGGCGTGTGGTAACCATGATGTCTCTGAAATACAACATAAAATTATCAGAGACTCCATCAAGTACAATTGCACTTGATACGCAACCCTACTCAGTCTCCGATATCCAGGGATTCTTACTTGGGTCTCCCACCGACCCGGTGTCTTCGGTAGTACGGGCCCAATACTACCGACCACACCGTATCAGTATTCGTCCCAAATCTTCCTCCCCAAACCCCGAATAGTGAGTACTCTACTTTGATATGCACTATCTACCTGCACGCTACCAAATATCTCATATCGGCAAACTCCCTAGACTAAGGCATCACAAATCAGGCCACTCTAGTCCTATCATGAATACCTAGTCTTCTAGCATGCATAACAATTCATAATTCATTGCATAACATAACATTGTAAGGTATTCTGGGGATCTTTACCGTTCGGGCGCTGGCTGATCGTACACACTGCTTCTTTCTTGTTTACCACTTTACCATTTATAAAAGTTTATGCCTTTATTATTTTTAAAAGATTTTCCTCAAATCCTCGGTTTGAGTTCAGTTACACCCGAAGGTACACCCGAATCCCTCAAACCAAGGCTCTGATACCAATTGTAACAACGCAAATTTTCAAACAAATTTTTCATTTAAAATAAAGTGATTTATTTCAACCAAATATAATTATTCCAAATTTCATATCAAAATACAATCATAAAATCCCCAAGATCTCAAAACATCAACAGTGTGTACGCGTCATGCCGGCGCCTTCCCACGGTCCTCGCTAGTACCTGAAACACATACATAACAACTGTAAGCATAAATGCTTAGTGAGTTCCCCAGTATACTACTTACGCATATACGCCTTTCCAGGCCCTGACCTTCCGGTCTACAACGCAACGCCTTCCGGCCCGTAACATAATCGCCTTCCGGCCCATAACATATTGCCTTCCGGCCCATAAATATACACATCAAATAATACATTTATCCTAACACATATAGCACATATATCATATATCATATCCGACCTTTCAGTCACATAACATATTGCCTTCCGGCCCATATAAACATACATAGCACGCATAGCAATACCTTACCATTTATAGCACGTATAACACATATCATATCCGACCTTCCGGTCACACAGTCAAACCCTTCCGGGTACAGTATAGTGAGAAGACTCACCTCGTGGGTAATGAAAGCTAGCGACTCCTGAAATCACTCGCACTCGATCCGCCGAGCTACAGACTCCCTATAATATCATATATCCCTTATTAATACTTTTATCTTTCAAGACAACTGACCCTAAGAAATCACATGTAGGTCAACTCTGGTCAACGGTCAACGGTCAACTTGACCGGACTCGGCGAGTGCTAAGGCGACTCGGCGAGTCTAGACGTCCTCACCAATCCTGATGTTCCCTTTCTACTCGTCGAGTATCCCTCTTGACTCGACGAGTTCCTCGTGGAAGAATCGCGGGGCCACCCCGACTCCACTCGCCGAGTCTGAAGAACAGCTCGACGAGTCCCAGTTAATCTCCAAGCTACTCGCCGAGTCTGTTCATCGGACTCGGCGAGTCCATGCCATGCAGTCGATCAAACTGCTTCCTGAGATCAGTATTGTCCCGACCATTCATAGGTTTGGTCCTCCTAAGCTGGTACAACACGTAAGACCTTCATTTAGGTGCTCATGCTACACCCAAGACTTGTAATTTACCTTTTGACTTAAGGCATAAGGATTCCAATCCAAAACCTCTCTTAATTCCCGAAATACACAGGCATGGGACATTCTGGACCTCTAAAGGTCCTAATACAGGGTTATAATCGTTTGGGGAACAAGGGTAATAATCAATCTAGTCACAAAAGGGTTCCATAAACCCTAAATCCATGCACACATCAACATAGCAGAATATGATCCGAAATA